AGGCCCCTTCAGTATCCAATCATCATGTCCAAGCATGTGTGCATTCAAATGTCTATGGCCACCTGGTATGCTGCATTTCTGCTTATCTTTTTTTATTATTTTATTGTTTGGACTCCAGGTCCAATATTATTGACCATTTCTTCTGTGATACTGGTCCTCTTTTGAGTCTTGTCTGTGCTGATACCCAACTTTTTGAACATTTTACACTGTTGACTGCCTTTTCAATTATTATTATGATGTTGTTCCCCATGATTGTGTCCGACATTTTCATTGTTGCCACCATCCTGTGCTTTCCCTCTGCTGTAGGGCGGAAGAAGGCCTTCTCCACCTGCACATCTCACCTGCTTGTGGTGTCCATATTATATGGGGCTCTTGTCTTCATGTACGTGAGGCCCAACGTCCAGTCCTCATCCCGCTTGACAAGGACCGTGGCAGTCTTGAACACCACCCTAACCCCAATGCTGAATCCTTTCATATACACAATCCGGAACACTGAGGTCAAAAAGGCTGTCCAGAATATAATGCATAAAAGGAAAGGGATCCTAAACTGAGAGAGTGAGGGGAAAAATACTTCCAAACTTCTATGTATTATCAATGAGGTGAAATTTAGAGCGCTGAGGCATGGATGATATTTTGAGTGGGTAGATGCAATCAGAATGTAATTGGCAGTTTCAGATTTTAAAAGACCATTTGACTATATACTTTGCAGTACAGATGCACAAGGTTTACAAACGCTGTGTATGTTAACAGCTTTTGTTCTGATTCTTTTGCTTATACTCATAATCTAGAGTAGGAAATTGATTTTTTAGAAAAAAATTAAAGGCAAGTGGGTGTGTTTCTGCATTTACTGGAATTAATACCCCACCTCTCTTTTTGAATGGCACTCAAAAGCTAAATCAAATCAAATAAAAGAAAAAAAAATCAATCCAAGTATATTTATAAGGCAACAAAAATATCAAGTCCAAGCAGCAAAGCTCAGATCAAACTCTATTATGACTTTGACATGCTTGTCTTTCTTCTTGACAGCAGTCCTTAAAAAGAGGGGGACCCTAAAGGGGGAAACTGAGGCAATACAACAGTTTTATCAATGCCATGCTTTGCGGCATCAAGGGTTATACTAGAACCAACGGACCCAAAAAGGTATAGCTGAACTTGATGAAGGGAGGAATTATAAAGTATAGTGGAAACAATCATGTCATGTTAGCTGATTGGATGAAATAAATAAGATTCACTTTTTGTCCTGGTTCTGTCATCTTCCCTTTTCTGGAAAGTGTCACTTAGGGACATCATATATAAATTCCATATTTTCACTTCCAGTACTGATAGAAGGAAGGTTAATACTAAAGAAATT